AGAGCTGGTTACCACATAATATGTTCATCTTTGATTCAATCTTCATATCATTGGGTCCCAAAGATTTACTCTAGGTGTAAAATGTGTTTAAACTTCAAAAGATCAGATCATTTGGGACCCAAAAAAACTCTGACTGCTATCCATGGACAGGAACTCTAACCAGAACCCAGGCAATTGCTTGCCTTTGTGGGACACAGAGACCTACCCAGAGGAAGGAATTCTCTAACTATGGCTTCACTTGTAACCATCATTGACATCAAGTCCATCAGAGAACTGGGACCTCAACAGGAAAGAGAACTAGGTCAGAACATTTTAATCAGCTGGAGGAGGGGGATCTAGGGTGCCCTAAAACTATTCTGTCAGAGCTCTTCAGTGAAAATTACTTCAAGTATTTCACAATGAACAGAGAACAAAATGGCAAAGAAGACACCTATCTTCATAAGATTTTACTGGTGGCTCCAAGCCAAGCTTATCTTCCCCCACTGATTTCTTTTGCATTTGTTATTTTTACTGGATAATTAGCTTTTTAATATATATTATCTCATTGTCTTTGATGAGAAATTTAGTACTTTATTATATCTATCGAGAACACTTACAGCTGAGTCTAAATTCCTCCAAGTGTGCTGCAAATTCTTTGAAGTCAGGGAAATTGCTTAGGCTTAGTGCTCAGCATACCATCAGTGCCAACAAATTGTTCTGTAGAAATATACTTCCCTTAACATACACACACACGCTATTTATTGTACACAATAGGAGCAGTGCACTATAAAGAGCAAGGCTTTGTTATCCCTTTTCACAAGTAACTAGATTTAACCAGGATCATAATGGCACAGTCATTCTTTCCTTAAAGCAAAAAAAAAATCACTGCCATCGAGTCAATTCCAACTCATAGTGACCCCCATTGGGTTTCCGAAGCTGTGAATCTTTATGGAAGCAGACTGCCTCATATTTCTTCCACAGAGCAGCTGGTGGGTTCAAATCAATGACTTAGTTAGTCATCTCATACCATAACCACTATACCACCAAAAAAGAATACATCAGAGAGGAGCTCCCATGACACTCAATACAGTCTTCAAACACAAGCCATTTAAAAAAAAAAAAAAATGTCATAGTCCTAGGGACTCACAGACACTCCCAAAAATGTACACCCAGTCTTGCTTATACATTCTACTTATTTTTTAATTCATTTGTTCATTTAACACTTTTAAGCACCATGTATCCAGCTGTATATTGTTGTTGTGTGCTGTCGAGTTGATTCCGACTCATAACAACCCAGAAGGATAGAATAGAGCTACCCTATAGGGTTGCCTAACTGGACCAATAAGTAACATCATGATAAATGGAGAAAAGAGTGACATTTTGAGGAATTTCATTTTACTTGGATCAACAATCAACACACATGGAAGTAGCAGGCAAGATTTTGATGTCATTTTGAACTGGGTAAATCTGCTGCAAAGACCTCTTTAAAGTGTTAAGAAGCAAAGATGTTACTTTGAAGTCTAAGGTGCACCTGACCCAAGCCATGGTCTTTTCAATTGCTTCATATGTACGTGAAAGCTGCACAATGAATAAGGAAGACTGAAGAAGAGCTGATGCCTTTGAATTGTGATACTGACAAAGAAAGTACCATCGACTGCCAGAAAAACAAACAAATCTGTCTCAGAAAAGGTGCAGGCAGAATGGTCCTTGGAAGCAAGAATGGCCAGACTTAGTCACATCTGCTTTGTTCATGTTGTCAGAAGGAACCGTTCCCTGGAGAAAGATATCACACTGGGTAAGATTGAGGGTCAGCAAAAAAAGGAAAGAATCTCACTTAGATGGACATAGTGGCTGTGACAATGGGCTCAAACATAGCAAGGATTATGAGGATGGCACAGGACTGGGCAGTGTTTCATTCTGTTGGACACAGCGTCGCTATGAGTCAGAGGTGACTTGACAGCACTTAACAACAACAACATAGGGTTTCCTAGGTTGCACTCTTTATGGAAACAGATTACCAGGTCTTTTTGCCCATGGAGTTACTAGGTGGGTTCAAACTGCCATTCTTTGGGTTAGCAGCTGAGTGCTTAACCACTATGCCACCAGAGGTCCTGGTTCCATATTAGATGCATGGAGTTTAAAGATGGAAAGATGCAGCCTTGGCTCCTAGCCAAACAGGTAAGCCCAATGCAACATACTAACTGCCATACTGCAAGTATATATTTATACAAAGTGGGATGAGGTACAGAAAAAGCCTAAACTTTCTTGAAGGTCATGTAATCCTTTACAAAGGAGAAGGGAAAAGAGGGTCAATATAGGAGAAAAGGGTACTCACATTGTTAGGATGCAGGGGTCCTGATTCAGAAAAACATTCAAGGTGTTTTTTTTTTTTTTTTTTTTTTGTCTTTTGTCTTATAGTTTGATACTCCCTGGGTCCAAGACAAGAAATTTAAATGCACCCTTGACAATGGAACACAGTCCAGGGCATTGGGCCCTTTCCACCATAAGGCTGCTGGAGGGGAGGGACAGAGCAAAATAAGGAAAGAATTCCTAAAAAGGGAGCCAACTGCCTGGCCCAGAAGGTGGTTGGCTGGGGGACTTCAGGTGGGTTGATGGATGTGCTTCTATCCCTGCAGAATCCCACCCACTAAGGGGTATGCCACTGCTGGGAAACAGTGTCAGGGGAGGAAAGAACCTCTGCCTCTCCCAGAAATGCCTTCTCTCTGGAGAAGATGGACTTTAAGCTGTGTCTCAATTGGAAGGAAAGAAGTAGGAGATGGTAGGGAGGGACATAGATTTTTCCCTGATGACTGAAGGGAGCAAAGAAAAGAAGAGAGAACAAGAAAAGATAGTCTTGAAAGGAACAAGGTCTGGAAATCATGTGGCCACAAGCAGTACAACCAGAAACCCTGGGGAGCAATTTGATTGAGAGAAGTTGAGGGGGAGAGGTGTGAAGCATGTCTGGGAAGCCACAACAGGGAAGGAGGGAAAGGAATGAACTGGAGGCTAGAAATGGGAAGACCGATAGGGGGTTATGTGGGAAATAAGAGTGGAAACAGGAAGGGTTTAATCAGGCTGTGATTGTACAGAAGGGGAGGAAGGCAAATTTGGCGGCTCCAGGAAGCTGAAGAGAGTAGATTGAGACAATGCTTCAGAGTCTCAGGGCTAGGGAAACAGTAAAAGCATTTTCCATGAGGTCAACTTTTCAATGTGATGAAGCCAGAGGTATAAATGGCTAAATGTGTGTGCTGGGGGTGGGGAGAGTGAGGAGCAGAGAGACAGAAGTTCACCTTCATGGCAAAGTGATATGGGCTTGGAATTAGACAGACCTGGATTCTATCAGCCCAGCTACTTACTAATTGTGGCCAAGTTAAATCACTTCTGTACTCTACTCCATGCCAACAGAACAAAACGCTGCCTGATCCTGTGCCATCCCCATGATCACTGTGATCCACTGGCTGAATTTCAGATCTGTATCTGAAAGCTAAGCCTTTCTTCTTAGTCAATCTGAGTGGAGAAGTTCCTCTGAAACCTGTCCATTGTCATAGCAACAGGAAAGCCTCCACTGACAAGACAGTGGTGGCTGCATAAGAGGTACATTGGCCGGGAACTGGGATCTTACACATGGAAGGTGAGAATTCTAGCACCAAACTGCCAATGCCTCCAACAAGACTCAGACTACTCACCTATAAAAGAGATACAAAAATATCTTCCATATGGAGTTTTTTCACAAAGGACTTAACACAGAACCTGGTACATAAATAAATTCAGCAAAGGTTAACTATTTTCATTATTATAATTATTCTGCATCACAGAAAGGCATTATTCATAGTGAGGATATGGACTGGTCAGATCATCTCCAACAAACTCTAGTCTGACCAGGGAAAGATGACTTTGACTGAAACCATGAAATACGAAGAAAAATTATGAAAACTAAAGATACTTCGACCAGATAAAATCTGGGGATTTGAGAATGGTTATGTGACGAGGAGGGAACCCTCTGTTTAACTTTAGGAAATAGTAATGGGTTGTGGTGAAAGGTTCTGGAGGCAGGCTGCTTGGTTTCAAATCCTCATAACACCTCTTGGTTGAGTTTTCTGACTTTTTCCATGCCTCAGTTTTCTCATCTGCAAAATGGGATTAATTAGATTACCTACCTCATAACGTTATTCAGGCACTGAAATTAGCCTCATTGAAATTGACATGTATTGTTAATACATGCAAAACGCTTAGAAGAGTGTCTGGCATATAGTAAACGCTCAATAAAATGTCAAGTCTTGTGTTGTTATTATTATTTTATTACTATCATTGTTAGCTCCGGCAAGATTTCAGGGTACCAGATGGCAGCCGAGTTATTTTTCATAGCCACAGCAGTGGAAAAATGGAAATGGCTGCCTGTGCCACAGTGATTCCCCTTTACTGTAAGAGTTCAAAAGGCACTGATAGTGGCTAGTCAGAGTTGTTGTAGAGGAGATTTCTCCCCCAAGGTGGAAGAAGACTTGTCATTTCTTTAAGCCTTTGGGCAGCCATTGTGAAGAAAGACTAAGATAAAGCCAAGCCCTTGGGGAAGCAGGGTCGGTTGGCCAGTGAGGCAATAACTCTAACCGACCGCCAGGGAGCAGCAAAGTCCAACCCCGTGTTGCTTCCTCCAGGAAAACCTTTCTCATTTGGTATGAGTTTTCCTTCCAGGCTGTTTGAGTAGTTCCACCTATCTCAATGCGCACCGCTGCAGTAATCCCGCCCATCACTGATTATCCAGCCAATCAACTAGACTCCTACCCGGGCCAGGCCCGGATATATCGATGCTTTTGAGCTCTCAGTTTGGAGTGCTAGCCCCGCCCCTTAGTCGTTCAGCCAAGCCCTTGCGACAGAGCTGGACGTAACCTGAGGTGGTGTCTGGGTGATCACGTGACCCAGGAGCAGCTAGGGCCAGGTAGGTGACTGGGTACGAGTCGGGGCGGGCAAGGGGAGGAGTGGACAGAGGGGAATCGTTGACCGCAGTACCGTTCCCTCCTTTAGCAATGGGCGTGAAGCCCCCTAACTTCTCATGGGTGCTCCCAACTCGGTTGGCTGGGCTGGCGCTGCCGCGGCTTCCCGCCCACTACCAGTTCCTGTGGGACCAGGGTGTGCGGCACCTGGTGTCCCTGACCGAGCGCGGGCCTCCTCACAGTGACAGCTGCCCAGACCTTACATTGCACCGATTGCGCATCCCAGACTTCTGCTCGCCGGCCCCTGACCAGATCGACCGCTTCGTGAAGATCGTGGACGAGGCCAACGCCCGGGGAGAGGTCAGCAGGAGATTTCAGCGCAGGGAGGGAGGAACCCGGAAGGGGTCAGCGGAGGACACACGCGGAACTTGGGAGATGTGGGCCGGCAGTCTTTTAGCTAGGCTCCGGGAGAGATTAGGGGAAGACCGTAGGGACAGGAGACAGCAGGTGCTTTTTACAAGGACAGAAAAACTGATTGGGTGGGGCGGTAAATGGGAGGAGTCAAAGAAAAAGGCTAAGCAGTGTGAATTAGGCTTGAAGAACGGAGAGGTGCTGAGTAGAAGCAATGGGGAACCATCTAATATTCTGAGTGGAAAAAAAGAGGGTTGAAGTCACAGGGAGGCTGTTTCGAAGTCTGTAGAGTAACAGTGGCCAATCAAATATAATGGAGCCATGCATGTAATTTTTAATTTTCTAGTCGCCACATTATATTTAGAAGAGGCAGGCAAAACTAGTTTTGATTATATCATTTAATCCTCGGAAGGAAGATGGGGCAATCTACTTCCGTAGTGATAGTGCCTCGGAAACCCAAGGAGGGGTCGCTATGAGTCGGGTCCGACTCGACGGCACATAACAACAACAACAACAATCCAATAAATGAAAAATATTATCATTTCAAATTATAGTCAAAGTAAAAAAAATCATAATGGGAAGTTTCTATTTTTTGTACTACATTTTCAAAATCAGGTATGCATTTTACACTACATCTCAAATTGGACTAGCCACATTGCAAGTATTCAGTAGCTACACATGGTTAGTAGCTTCTATATTGGACAGTGTAGGTAGAGGATTGTGGGGAGGCAAACCAGGAGCCCAGCTCTTGAACCATTCACTTCTGAGTTGATGGGTGGCCTCCAAGCCACCCAGGTGCCAGGGCAACCCTCCCTGACTTTGCTGTCACTTCTTGCCCCCTGAGGGCTGATACTTGTACCAGAGCCCTGAGCCTGACCCAGAAGAAGCAGTTAAGGGGCAGGAGAATGTTGGGGAGGGACTTGGGCCCCACTCCATCAGGCTCCATTTTCACAGGCGGTGGCAGTTCACTGTGCCCTGGGCTTTGGCCGCACTGGCACCATGCTGGCCTGTTACCTGGTGAAGGAGCACGGCCTGACTGCAGGAGACGCCATCGCTGAAATCCGGCGCCTACGACCTGGCTCCATCGAGACCTATGAACAGGAGAAAGCAGTCTTCCAGTTCTACCAGAGAACTAAATGAGGGGCCTTAGCACCGCTCTACCTGACCTGTGTAGTCAATGGGGCCAGAGAAACAGAAGCAGGATAAAGGTGTTCAGCCCTCTAGCTCCCCACTGGCTCCAGAGACTGAAATAGCCATCTCCTGCTGGCAGGTCCTGACTGAAGCGATGGCTGGGGTCCCGTTGAAGTGGCAGGGTCCTTCTGCTGCTTCCTTAAATAAATAACATACAAGAACGAGCTCACATTTGCATAGCACTTGACATTTTACAGAACACTCTGACGCATCAGCTGATTTGATCCTGACCATAGCTCTGTGATAAAGGAGAGGCAGATAGTCCCTCCTTGTTCCTTGTCCCTTGTCCCTCTAAGAAAGCTAAGGCTCAGAGAAGCCAAATAATCAGCTACCCAATCATAGAAAATGGAAGGATGGGCCAGGACTACAACACACACCTTCAACTTCTTAAAGATGCTGAAACTCCATCTATCTCTTCCCTGACGACACTTGATTGTAGCTTCTGCAGAGCTAAGGAGCTTTGGTGGTACAGTGGTTAAAGCTTTTGGTGGTACACAGGTAAAGGCTTCTAACCATAAGGTCTGTGATTTAAACCCACCAGCCACTCCATGGGAGAAAGATGAGCCAGTCTGCTTCCATAAAGACTTATAATCTTGGAAACCCTATGGGCCAGTCCTACTCTTTCCTATAGTGTTGCTATGAGTTGGAATCGCCTCAGTAGCAGTGGGTTTGGTTTGGGTTCTAGGGAGCTGTCAAATATAAAACCCAATCCCCAGCAGCCCAGACTTCTGGCGTCTGAGGGTCTCTAATGCTAACAGGCCAAGAAGACCCCTGTTGGCACAATGTCTTAGTCTAGGTCACTTGCCCTGTGTGTTTATCCCTTTATTCCTCTTGGGGCAGAGAAGACCCAGATGCTGTGTTCACAGATAACCACCATTTCCGTCTTCCAAGGGCTGGGCACTTCTCTCTAGCCTCAGGTATTGCTCAGCTCAAGTGGGACCTCCAGCCCATTACATATTCTGTTATACTACCCCACACAACCTCAGGCCTGTTGTTGTTGTTGTTATATGCCGTCGAGTCGGCCCCGACTCATAGCGACCCCTCCTTGGGTTTCCGAGGCAGTATCACTACGGAAGTAGGATTGCCCAACCTTTCTTCCAAGGAGTGGCTGGTGGGTTTGAACCGCCAGCCTTCTGGTTAGCAGTCAAGTGCCTTAGCCACTATGCTACCAGAGCTCCCCAACCTCAGGCCTAGCAGTACTGAAATTGAGCCAGCTTTGGTGGTTATCCAGAGCAGTTATTTGATAATTAAATGGAGAGCTTGTGGCTATGAATCCTGGCCAAATTTCTCAGATGTTACCTTCACTTCTCCTCTGTTGATCTCCATCCTGCCATCCCCACCAGTACTCTTATGGTTTATGAGTCATAGGATGGATGGGTTACACCAGCCAAATGGACCCTTTTTGCTGCAACGTCTGCCTAAATTCCTGTCTGCTCCTCCCCAGTCACAAGCCGAGCTGGATAAGGTAGAAATTCATCATGAGATATGTATGGAGGGCCTCTGTGCCAGACTCTGTTAGATGCAGAGGCTACTCTGCTGAATGAGAACAAGTCTTTTTCTCAGGAGCACACAGCCTCCTGGAGGAGATGGGCACAGGTAAAGGCCAGCTACATAGAATGGGTACTATAACAAACTTGCACTCAGGGGACAATGGAGACATAGAGGACAAAGGTGTCATAGGCTCCCCTTTATAACCCATTCCTTATAGCCTAGACTAGAGCTAGACCTAAGCCACCTATTCCTCACTCTTTTTTTCTCCCACTGCTACTCATTCAACCCACCTCCATTCAGTTCACCCCATCTGACTCATACAAAGGGTACATCAGTCAATCTGAGGGAAACAGAAACAAAGAGGTTTTAGAGGTACAATGATTAAAGCACTCAACTGCTAACCAAAATGTTGGCAGTTTGAACCTACCAGCCACTCTGCAGGAGAAAAATGTAGCAGTCTGCTTCTATAAGATTTACGGCCTTGGAAACCCTATGGGGCAATTCTCAACAACAACAACAACAATGATGAGTTTCCTCTGTGTCAATGCTGAGTAATTACTTCATTCTTTTTCCCTGGTCTCACCTAACCTACCCAGATGAGAACATCTCCCAAAGGAAAAACCAAACAATGTGTCATCCAGTCCTTCCAACTCATGGCAATCCCATGTGTGTCAGAGTAGAACTGTGTTCCATAGGGTTTTCAGTGGCTACTTTTTCAGAAATCCATCACCAGGCCTCCCTTCCAAGGCACTTCTCAGTGGACTCTGACCACCAACCTTTCAGTTAGCAGCCAAACACCATTAACTAATTTGCACCACTCAGGGATTCCTACCAAAGAGAAGAAACCCATAATCTCAGGCATCCAGGCTGCAACAGAATGAGAAATCATAAGCAGAGAAGAAACACTGAAACCTCCCACAAAAAAACAGCCCATCTCCATCTACTCTTACCCCAATAGCATGGCCCCATTCTGTTTCTTTTTATTGTTACTATAATTGTAAAAATACAGATAACACAACTTTTTCCAATTCAGTAATTTTCACTGGTACAATTCAGTGAAACCAACATCAATCGTGTTGTACAACCATCATCAACATCCATTGCCTTATTTTCCATCCCCATAAACAGAAACCTAATTAGTAAGGGTCACTAGGAGTCGGGTCCGACTCGACAGCACATAACAACAACAACAATAATAGCTAAACAAAAACTCTTCCCTTTCCCCTTTCCCCTTTCCTCCTTCCTCCCTCCCCCGCCCCATTCTGTTTCTTGATGCAAACAAGAGTATCTCCTAAAAGGATGTGTGTGTGTGTGTATGTGTGTGTGTTCATCTGAAGGAAGTGGGACAGGAAGGATGTGAATGACCCACTTCCTAGACCCCTTTCCTCCATTCTAAGGGCTTATAAGAATGAGAGAAGTGTGAGGCTTGAAGTTCAAGTCTGATGCTGACCTACTGGGGGCCACACAGCCAGTCTTCTGTTTCCGGCTTCTATATCTTGCAGGATCTTCTGCATCCATTGACTTATCTTTTGCCCCCCTCCTTTGCAGAACACAGGAAATTTTTCTAACGCCATTAAAGCCCTGTGTGCAGCCTGCATCCCCATAATTTAAGCAGATCTCCTCTGCCTCAAGGGTTCCTTAGGGAAATAAACATATAATTATGTGCTTAAGGAAATCAGTTTTCAAATAAGTAAGAATTGACTTGAAGTGAAAAACTCTGCCTTGATCCCTCCATCTACCTTAGGAAGTAGCTTGACACTTCCTTTGAGCTCATTCCCACCCCCAAATGTTTTGCATTCTCATCACCCTTCTGTATTTGGCCAGCAGTGAGGGGTAATGGACCAGCCATAACCCCTTTCCATTCTTTCCTACAATTAGATGATCCAAAAACTCACTGCCATTGAGTCAATTCTAACTTATAGCAACCCCTCCTTGGGTTTCTGAGGCAGTATCACTATGGAAGTAGATTCCCCAGTCTTCCTTCCTACAAGTGGCTGGTGGGTTTGAACTGCCAAACTTCTGGTTAGCAGTCAAATGCCTTAGGCACTATGCTACTGTCTACAAAGAACCTTCATATTACAGCAGACCAGGGCTTCTCAGCCTCAGCTCTACTGATGTTTTGGGTTGAATAATCCTTTGTTGTGGAATGCTGCTCTGTGCATTGTAGGATGTAGCACACCCCACGTACACATAATGATAATAGCAACCAAAAATGTCTCCAGATGTAGCCACACATCCCTCGAGGGACAAAATCCTCCCAAGTTGAGAACCCTTGCATCACACTAACAAGCACCAGACCCAATATAGGTCTTCATTTCCCATAAAAGTAGAATAGGGAAATACTTGGGAATTTCTTCTGAGGATGCACACATCTTAAGGGATTATGGGCCAACTCAAGCACAGTTCCCTTTTCGAGCAGTGTCCGGCACCTCCTCAGTTCCTCATCTTTTCCTGGGCAGGGTTTCCAAGATGGAGAAAGATACCATTAACTTCCAATATTCAAGATTATATTCTCAATGAGTTTCTGGAAGGCATAACCGCAGTACCATCTACTACCACTAACCCTACCCCTGGTATTTTTAAAGTTTCTGCTCATATTTATTATTTGGTGCAGAATCACAGGCTTTACTGTGTGGAAAGCATCCCTCTGCATCCATCGACTCTTTGGTTCCTATCCCAGAAAACTATTCTGATGCTAGGAGGGACACCAGGAGAAACTTCCTCCCTGACTTGGGTCTACCACATCCAATTCACCTGCAGGATGCCCTGTGTGTTTCTTTTGCTGTCTGTGTTCTAGGTTCTACAATTGCTTCACAGGTCTGTGCTCCAGCACAGGCCTTCCTGCTAGAGAGGAATACAGTTCGGACATAGTCCCAGTCCCCGCATACACACTGCTCATTGCCCCACCCCTGGATCTATATTTTGTCATCACAGTCCCTGACCTTGACCCTTACAGTTGCCCATAACATTTAGGGCACCTGTCCCCAAGAGCAGCTCATCACTGATTCCCCTGGCTAAGAAGTTCTGCTCCTGATGCACTGTGTTGGGTTATACACACCTCTGTACCTGCCTGCTCCCCCATTGACCCACAAATAAAATCATCCTAGTGCAATGATGAGCATCTGTCTTGGGCTAGGTGTTTGATCCAAACCATAAATCATTTCCCAGAATGAAATGTCCCCATTTGCCAAGCTCAAAACAAACCTTCTGCTGTCTTTATCTTGCCATTCTTTCTTGAGAAGGAAACTAATTTGGTCTCACAGGATTGTTTCATGAAAAACTATGTCAGTTACCACAGACACATTTCATACTTTGTCATGACTGTACTTTGCTTAAACTTATGTAATTATAAGTCTCATCATTTATGAAGCCCTGCCATGTAACAGATGTTCTGCCTACATTGCATTATATCATTTTATCCTTACAATAACTGCGAGTTAGGCATTTCCCCCTTTTTA